TCAAGTGATGCAAATTCATAATGAAAAATCTTTTTTGGATGACTTTGCTCGTTTTCCCAGTATTATTTGTAAAACTGTGTACATAATTACAATAAGTCAGACTATTGTTTATGATTTCAAATGTGTAAAAATACTAATCTCCATAACTCTTATTGAAAATATCGTAAAATGTGCTCACTAGTAACTAGCTTCATGAGGAGATTCTCGGAGTTCTCATGAGGAGACGTAACTATTGGAGTTCAACCCTTTCGGGTGTAGGCAGCAACTACCAACGACAAATGGGTGAGGTCACGCAAAATCTGTAGATTGATCAGAGTTAGAAATTCACACCATTGGGTGCCGGCCTAGTGGTCCGATGGTTAGGCGTTCGCTTACAATACCGAAGGTCCCGGATTCGAATCTTGCGATGTGCAGGATTCGCGGATGCCAACTGCTAATGAGTCGCACACCAGGACTGACGATTTCAAATGTGTAAAAACACTAATCACCATAATTCTAATTGAAAATATTGTTTATGTTCCAAATAACTGAAATTTATTTATTTAAGCTATTTATTATTGCAGTAATTTACTAGGCGTTTACAATCACCTTATTTGATGTTTACTGACTAGGATTTTTCTAATGGTCAACAATGCCGTTTCATAAAATGGTGTCTGAGCAAGTAATCATGTAACTATTTACATTTCCGGAAGGAATTTCACGGATATGTTTCAATTTTAGTCGATCCACTTGACAGTGTAACTGGTATCTAGTATGACATACATTTCTGTATCATTTGTTTGATCGAATTTTGACAATTTTTATCGAAATTTGTATTATTTCTACCATCATCAAGTAAAATTTCACAAGAAGCTTTTATGTAGAACAATATCAAATCTGATTCATTTAATCTTTATACAAGGTCTAGTGATACTACACAGCTGCCAAAACCAAATTAGGGGAAACTAATTGAGAATGTCAAATCCAGTAGAGTTAGGATATCAAGAGTTCTAACTTTTGAACTACAAACCCGCTACTTTATCATGCTGAGGAATGTCTTCAATGATGGCTTACTTACTTACTTACTTACTTACTTACTTACTTACTTACTTACTTACTTACTTACTTACTTACTTACTTACTTACTTGCTTACTTACTTACTTACTTACTTACTTACTTACTTACTTACTTACTTACTTACTTACTTACTTACTTACTTACTTACTTACTTACTTACTTACTTACTTACTTACTTACTTACTTACTTACTTACTTACTTACTTACTTACTTACTTACTTACTTACTTACTTACTTACTTACTTACTAACTTACTTACTTACTTACTTACTTACTTACTTACTTACTTACTTACTTACTTACTTACTTACTTACTTACATACTTACTTACTTACTTACTTACTTACTTACTTACTTACTTACTTACTTACTTACTTACTTACTTACTTACTTACTTACTTACTTACTTACTTACTTACTTACTTACTTACTTACTTACTTACTTACTTGCTTACTTACTTACTTACTTACTTACTTACTTACTTACTTACTTACTTACTTACTTACTTACTTACTTACTTACTTACTTACTTACTTACTTACTTACTTACTTACTTACTTACTTACTTACTTACTTACTTACTTCCTTTGGTATAAATGTCTCTTGACTAATCTAAGGTAATTAACTCTATAATAATGTAAGTACTACTAATATTTTTCTATTCAGTTACAAATGCATACGATAGCCCAGTTGAAAGCTAAACTTAAGTTTCAGTTCGCTAACCTTTTTTTCAATAAAGTATAAAAATTTCCTCACGAACAGACCAATAAAGAATAAAACAGAAATACCAAAAGTCTCGTTAGGGTATTGATCAATATGACTACACAGATTAGGGAATAAGAATAAAATTTTAATTTATAAAACTTATCATGTTTGTGATGTAATGCTCAAATTTCTTCTTAATTAATCAATTGGGAGTAGTTGAATTTAAAGGTGTATTATGACATCAGTGGTTTTTTAATTTCGTTATGTAATTCTATCACTTTATTCTGTACTTTAAAAAAAATCTACTATTTAAATTTTTTTGTATGGGACGGTGAATTTTAGTGTTAATAGTTATCGAAAATACAATCAAGTAAACTACTTACATAAGAAAGTTAAGAACTAGGGATGTACAAATTATCGACCGGGAACTTTGAAAGCTTGTCAATTAAAATAGATTCAACAGTTTGTAGTGAAAATATTTGACATAACTGATGGAAATTAATAAAATTTTAATAAAGACTACTTTTCAATACAGTTGATAAATACTTTTGAGAATATCTTTTATTGTTCTGAATGAAACTGGAACAACTCAATGATAATTTATAATATCTAGCAAATAGAATTCAACTATGCCCTAATGATCTTCGTGAGTAATTGTTCTATGCATGAGTCAAGGTAACATCACGATACTACTTTATTGATCAAGATATCAAATTGTAATGATTCCCTTCAACTTTTCGATAATTATTTATGATTACTGTTTGTTATTGTATACTGAATATTTACTGCACAAAATTGACTATCGATTGATGACTTGTGGTAGTATCATAACGATATCTTGACATTTTTTTATTCGTTACATGCTTGTGAGCTTCTCATTTCAGCTCCCAGATTTATATGATGACATCCGTTATCTGGTTGGGGTCCGCGAGACGAAAGTCACCGATGGTTAGAGACTTTGAACGACATGGCACAGAATCGTTTGCAATGACGCAGATGCATCCACTCTTTGTGTTTTCTCAAATCCTAACCTGAGTTCCTCATAATCACTACCTTTCTCCTTCTAAATTTGTCTTACTGAATTATACTTCTCGAGTCATATCTTCGCTCCCTAATCTTCTCCATTACTGCTAATACTTCTACTATCACTACCACTCTTGGATTTGAACTGACAGTTGCGTTTCTGTGCTGATGTGGTATGACAGCCTGAACTGATGTACTTACGTACGATGTTCTGTGTTGTATCTGTCTGTCTGTAATCATCAATCAAAGCTGCTTTCGTTTTAGATAAATTCAATGAATAGTTTTCGGTCTGTAATGATATTTTCCTTTCAGGCTAATTAAACAGAAATACTCTAAAACACAAAAAAGAATGAAGTTTAAACTTGGAAATAAAATTTGATCAGTCATTCTTGAAATAAACAGAGAATTTATCTTGTGTTGCAGCAAATACATTACATACTTAGTATAGGGGTAAGCTTACATTCATATGTGTCTAAGTCAGAGTATGATGTAAACAAATATGTCTGATTTGGAATCAAAATGATCTTTTAAACATGAAAATGGACTCAAGAAACTCACTAACACATACATTTGTCTACATTTCTTGTTACAAAAAAGCGGGTCACCCAGGGGTTAAATTAAATGTTCCAAAAAGGAACAAATATTTGTAAATACCCGTATATTGATGACCTTTATGAATTGTGCTCTGGAAAATGAAGATAACTTTTTTTTTCGAAATTTATAGTGTGTGTCATGTTAGATTTCAATTTGAAATCGATCGTTAAAATACGGACTAGTTAGTGTAATCAATGTCTGTGCAGTTTTATAAGTGAAAAAGTAAAAAAAAGCAGCATATTATGTAGACCAACAGACCTATGACTTAAGTTCTGAATAAAGTAGAAAAACTATATAACTTAGGTATTCATTTAAATAAATATAAACAGTTACATTAGACACTATGATACAAATTTTAAATAAAGTTTATGTTTAGTTCCATCATGTACATGAATATACTTATCCGATAATAGGGTTGGTCACAGAGTTAAAAAAAATTGAGGAAGTTTTGAAAACTAAGAGATGATGAACTTTAATTGTATCGGTCAAAAACGATATCTTTGGGTATCACTTGAATAAACAGCCATTAATTCAACGAAAATGAATTTTGCAATATAACGAGTTTATTTACAAATGGATCAGCTAGGTAACTTCGCTTTCTACTTTACAAACCACAATCATCAACCAGCAATTTAAGAAATACATTTGGCAAATAACTAAAGGTGACCACGTGATATAGTTCCATGTGAGAAACCTAAAGTAACAGCATGTGATGCTGTAGAGTCTCAGTCTGGCTTGAAATAGTTTTTCACAGTTGCCAATTTTTCCATAGTTCTACTGGTAATTCTAATTTTTAAAGGAAATCATCTTCAAAATCTAGTATTTTTATTGAAACTAAGATTAGTAACACTATTATATAGTTTGTTTGTTATTGATTATAGTTGTCAATCAATGATTTTCATTTATTTCTGGATATCTGTTATGATTAATAATGGTGACTGATTATTTCCCAAAAAACAGTTTGCATAGCTGATAATCTTCCAGCCTAATTTGCCATTTTTAACGACTTAGAATTATAGAGAATGGTTTTTTTCGAAATGAGTAATGCGATTATTGGGTATTTTTTAAAATTCATTTGTGAAATACTCTAAAATTACCCCAATTTGTAGGTAACAAAAAATTAAAAGTTAAGTATTTGGATTTTTAACAAAATCTATATAATTTCTAATATTATTAAAGGAACCAATATAAACTGACAAATAGATTTCAAAAATTATCTTATGAGATCAAGCAATTACAGTCACTGTTCCCTATGACACAAATGGTTTCTTTAAACAACTGTATTGCTTTTTTAATGGATGCTTTTAGTTGAGATGTTGTGTTAATATTTTGTCTACCAGTAATGCTATCACTTCGCAGAATCAATTTCAGTAGTCACATTTCAAAGAGAACGTCGTAAAATTTTATTAGGCTTCATTGCCACTGAATAATGAGACAAAAGTTGGTGAACCAATCAAATAACAGTATTGGTCAACCACTAGAAAATTTTATGAAATTACTAGTATCATGATTGGTTAATTTCTGATTTGATTATGGTTGGTCAATTGAAAGCGGAGTCTCGTGTAAACTTACTATATGACATTGAAATAATGATTGCTTGATACATCTATTAGCCAGTCGCGTGACAGACGGTTTGAGATTCAACTTCTGACATTGCTTCTTGTAAACACTAAATGTGTTGTTACAGTTAGTGGATTCATAAGAAAGTTTAAAATTGGATTTACATCTGTTGGAATTATTACCTGAATTATTCAATATCATTGTAAAATGACAGCATATCTGGCTTTTAACAATGGTAAAACCTACCTAAATTCAGATGGAGATGATTTACAAGTAAGTTGAATTATTAAAGTACATTGAAACTTTGTTTGAAAATACTTGTACGTAAAAGGATGATAGTTTGTAACCAATTACATTCAATACGGTGTTTTTTAAGTGGTTGTACGTACGAACACATTTAAAATAAAATTATTTTGATTACGGTTGTAAATGGTGTCTATGAACAGTATAATGGGTTGAGATCATTATTACCTTGAAAATAACTTCGAACCCAGCATAGCGATCCATCAATGGTAAACATCTCTATTATCACCATTCAGGTTCCAGATTCGAACCCTGCTCTGCATACTATGGTCTGAGAAACTAGGTAGCCTATATATGACAGCATATAAAATCAGATTTTATACACCGAAGTTTGAATTACTCTACATTAAAACCCTTCCCAATAATTTTCACCTAGAGTATTCGCACAGAAAGCACAAATGGATGAAAAATTTGATTTATTCAATGTATTATATATTAGATACGTGTTAGCGCTTGACCTCACAAATTCTAAATATCTAGGTCAACTGAATTAGCTCAGCAACCAATGTGTAAATTATTGCATAGTCCAAACTGAGATAATCATATGTTACTATGATGCAATTCAATATGTAGTTGGTTAGAATGTCTCGAATTCAGTCGTTATATATATGGGCTTGATAAAATGGTACCCTTGTTATAGGGCTAAACGTTTACGTTTAAGAATTCAAAATTAACAACTATGTAGTTGAAGTATTCATTAATACACACATAACCTGAATAAAAAGTTAAAGACAACTGCTAACATTTGCTTTTACTGCTACGCCAAATAAATTCTAACACCACTGTTTAGGTTTAACATATTCCTTATGAATCTTGAGGTAGAGAGTCATCAGGGTATCTTTCTAGGAATTTTATTCATCGAAATACATATCTTACGAACTAATAGTTGCCAAACTCGTATTTCGTCATAATATTAACATTTAATTTGCTTAATGGGCATCAGTATTCAGACTGTGAGCATTAAAAATGCGTTTCATTAATCGAAAATTCTTAGCGGTCCAGTACATCCACAATTATAGTTTGAAACATAACTGAAAAAATACCAGTTCGGAATTTCGCATACAATATTTTGTTTTATCTTGCTGTGTTGATTATACCTTACACCATTTATGTATATTTATCAAACTTTGACTTGTTCAACCCGAAAAATTCGCACCATCTTTTTTCAGATTGTCATTGAACCTAACTAAAATTCAACTTTTTTAGTTATCTGTGATATGTTTTATGACTGTCTCCGCTAATATGGCGTCTGGATAATAAATATTTATTTCAATAAAACACTTGTTACTTGAAGATTTATTTATCAGATAGTATCTTTCTCGAAAAAATATCTCATCATGTTTTGGTTGCCAGAAAAATTGAATAAAATTAAAGAACATACGTTCACGGTGAATACAGATGTTGTAAAAACACACATCTGATATGATCACAATATGAAAACTTTGTTATTTATGTTTTCCTTCCTTTTTCAACAAGAGTTCAGTTAACTGTGGCAATATATATAAAGTACAAATATCATTTTATCAAAGGATTGGACACATAATGTATAATATTTTTCAGCATGGCACATACACTTATTTATTTGTCTGTATATACGCATAATAAAATCACCATCATTCAATTTTAATGCAGAAATAACAACGACTGAATGAACATTAAGGATAAAAAGTATATGGATATCTGATTATCGGATGGTAATACTTTATAATATACTTTCTTTCAAGTAATAAATACTTCAATAAAACATTTTTATATGGTTGAATTAATAATGTTTCTTAAGAAGAAAAAAGCCGTGTGATGATAATTGAATTTCCAACGCAGAAAAAGCCTTAACATTCATTGTCCATATAAATAAATTTCAGCTACTTGCAAGAAAATTGATCATGCGCAAGTGGGATTAGTTTTTTTAGCCACTAGTCAATATTTTGAATATACAGATTTTTTCATTAAACAACATATAATTCATAAGAAGGTTTAGGTATTCTATTTTCTTAGTCTTGGTTTTTGATAAAAAGCCGTTGTTATTTTGTAGTCGGAAAGCAGAACGAGGAATTGAGTTGAGCTATCTGTCTGAACGGCGCTTCTGAAACTGACAGGATTCTTAACTCAGTATTTAACCACACGTATTTCAACGAGCAGGCCGGCCAAGTTGTTTGAGATGAATCATTTTGTCTGACTGATGCATAGATTTTTACAACTACTGAAATTATTGATCGTTTTGTTGATTGAATCTTCAGTGTCGTCTAACATGAACATTACAATTCTTTTTTATTTTGATAATATTTTAGAACAATGATAAAAGTAATCGATATGCAAGTAATATCAATTCACATCAAATGTCCTTGGATTTAAATGAAAATAAACAATTCGTTCAAGGAATAGCCTACAAAAAATCAATTTTTGAAGAATCACATAATACTATAGAAAAGTCATCAGATGGTGAGTCTATTTAATCAATAACAAATACAATGACCTTTAATCGTGAGAACGATTTTTTTTTCTTATCATACTTAACTAATTTGACAAGATGAATCATGAGCATTTATTCAATGATATTTTACCTATGAACAATTGAAAAAGTTACGTCATCATTAGTCATAATATTGAGATAAAAATAGGGCAAAAAATGGACTTGAATAAACCAATGATCGATTGTAACCGAAAATGAACATTCGATGTTATATGGAAAAAGCGCTAATATGTATACCAAACTAGTAGAACCAATCGTTTGTGATGTACACTAGTCCTGATTGTGATGTCATGATTGTATCGAACACTAACAGACGGAAATCTTTTATTTTAAAAGACAAAAATCTTAGTTAAATGTGATCAATGTCTGATATCTATTAAAAACTCCACCGTTAAAAAAAATTGTCTCTTTTGTTTATTCCTTGTAAATCTCATAATGTAGCACACATAATTCACTGTTACAACTTTCTATGTTCACAAACTGATCTGCAACATTTCTTTCCTCAAATTATTTATTTATTTAATCACATTTTGAAATCACAGTCACATAATTCAAAGTGTCAGAATACTAGTATAAACTAGAAATGGAGAAATGTTTTTTTTTTCTACGAGACTATCAAGATTCTGTCCACATTCTCGATGTCCCAATTGATTTATATAATTGTTATTCAGTTTTTTTTTAATTTAAATGTTTGTTTTTCATCATCAACCATTGACATCGGTCGGGTGTTTTTCGTTTGAGAAAAAAAAACAATTTAGGTCAAAATGTTCGTTGCTTTATTCTAGAGAAGAAGAAAAAAAACTGGTTTATTTGAACACGTGGTTGGTTATCATTTTCATTCGATCTTTAGTTGATAAATATCTAGTCAATCTTGTACTCGAAGCATTTTTTTTAGATATGTATGTCAGTAGAACACTGACTGTCTTACAATTTCATATACATAATATACATTTTTATATAATTTATTTATAGATTGTACACTGGAATCAAGAAATTCCTTATTAGCTTACAAACCATCTACAGAAATAAATCCAGTTAATCATTTTGAAAATCATCTACCTGTTGATGTACAGTCATTAATTCAACGTCAAACTCAAATTATTCAACAATTAGAAAAACTTGATAAAGAACTATTGATGTTATTACATGAAGAATGGGTAAGTCAATAAATAATGTATTCATCAAAATTTTAACTGTATATGAGCTATGATACCGAATAAGTGAATTTGAATAATTCACAGTAAAATCCTATAAATATAAAATATAATTTCTCATCTTATTGCAGATGTGACTCATACGAGTCAGTTAGTCAGTCTGAACAACTTTCTGATTATGTCTGACCATCTGACTAACGAATACTTTATTGAACTCATCAATCAATCAGTCATTGTTAGCCCATCATGAGAGACTTGGAAACACTGGATGGCCGTTTCGTCCTGGTGTGAGACTCATCAGCAGTGCGCATCCACGACTCCTATACCTCGCAGGATTTGAACCCAGGGCGAAACGGCCATCCATTGCTTCTAGGTTTCTAATGGTGTTCTAACAATCATTGATTGATTGATTGATGATTTCAATGTATAAAAGTATTCGCTTGTCAGATGGTTAGATATAATCAGAAGAAAGTTCAGAACTTAATTTTCTAATTAACTGACTAGTAGAAGTCATATATGCAATAATTTTATCGATGTCAGATGTGTACATAAAACGTATTTATCTGAATTGTTCTCTTTTTAGTAGCACTTCATAATCACTTCAGCGAACTTCAAAAAAAAACAACTGAATTTTTTTATTTTCTCTTTACAGTCCATTACAGGAAATGTACCGTCAGATTATGAATCTTTAAGTTTGAAGCTTGGCATATATAATAAACCTGTGAAAAATACTTCATATCCATTATCGCATGTTCTAGTTCATAAGGCAAGTACAGTTAGTATGAAACAAGAATACTATGAGTTTTTAAAGAAAAAGAAATATTTATCAATCACAGTAAGTGTTTAATATTTTTTAAGGTTTTGTTTCTCTTTAATGATGTATATTATTATATCGTTCGTATTACCAATAAACTGAATTCAGATTCCTCGGTGCTGTTTGGCTGTAATAAGTGCATATTACTTGAAATGAATATATTTGCTAGACTCGTTCATAATTTGATTTTGAACAATTTGGTCTCGTGTGCTGGTACGGGTATGGAAGGTTGTTTCTTGAGGGACCTGAAAAGGAAGATAGATTAGTGTTGGTTTTAGAGACTTGGGTGCGTGACCGCAGTGCCCGAGGGACAACTGCTTGAGGCCGGTCATGCACAGCCTTTGTATGAAGGGTTTTTTGAGTATTAGCTTCGCTCTTGAAAGCCCTTAGAGGGCACCCTTACCGCCGAAGACGGAAATCCGTGAGATAGGGTGAGGTGTGACACTTTTAGGGTCAACCTTTTCTAACCCTTTCTTGCTTGTGAGAAGGCAGCATGCTGGTTGTCCGAGGGAAACACCTAGCTACTGTCACCCCCCTCTGCAGTCAGCAGTATGACTTCGCCCTCAGACCTTGAGTAGCTGCTTTTAGTCTCATCGTTCTCCAATCGACCTGCCTGCATGGTAGAACCTTGAGGAACATATGTTTCAGCCAGTATAGCTCGGCTGGGTCATCACGATAGTCAAGCCCGACCACCACGTCAGGGTAGCAGCTAATTATCAATAAAAATTACGGTAAATAATCACGGTTTGTGAAGACTGTTGAATTTCATCGAAATCATTTTCGAAGTTCTAGTGAGAAGCCGTTATCACTGGAGTTCCACCCCATAAAGTGTAGGCAGTTATCGACCTTTTATTAATTAATGTTTGATAAGCGCGCTGGTTGCCGGTTAAGCATTCGAGCGCGTTTCGTTCGAGCTGGAGTAGTGGCTGAGCTTTGTTATTGAGTCTCATACTAGGACGAAATCTCCGTCCATTGCATCCAGATTTCTTATGGTTTTCAAGTAAATTATTAATTGCACAGTCGTTTAACAACAAAATTGAGTCACTGCAATATTTTTATATGATCGATTTTATGAAATCGTTTCTGTAACTGCCGTCCTTTTCGAACGTCAATGATATCATTTCAGTCTGAAAATTAACCAGTGAGCAACTTCTTAATATTGTTAAAAGCTTGCTTACTACCTGATCATACCAACTGACAAGCACTTATGATGATAGTCGGATATATTTGAGACGTTATCACATTAGGCTAAAATTAAAGTGTTTTATCACTTGAAGTTAACTTATGTACTTTGCGTTGCTAAGGGTTCAACTTCAGCATTCAATTGACCATGTGCTTGCTATCTAGCCTCGATTTATTGTGAAATTGTTGTCAACTATGTTGAAATGATAAATCAATAAAATTGCTTTTATCCTTCTATTCATATTATTACAGGCAACTAATAAACCGATCGTAAATGTTTCAGCAGAATCTGTATCAATCACAAACAATTCGAAAATCGATGATTTTTCACTTCCAAATGATGAAAATGTTGAACGCCATAAAAATACAGCACGACGTTTGGTTGAAGCATTCGGTCGCAGTATTAGCACTGAATTATTATTGCAGAATGACAAATTATACAACCCTATTGACTTAACTGACAGATACCCTCATTCAAATACTTCTTCTTTTCACGATTACAGTTCTGTGAATTTAAATTTTGATAAACATCAATATAACACATTTAAAACAGATAATCAGTTAACCCCATCAGAATATTATCGTTTAAACAATGTGACATCAATGTCTGATTACAGCTCATTTCTGTCGGCTGACTATTCACCGACAACCTCTATCCGAAGTGATTATAGATCACTTAAAAATAGTGTGAATAGTCATAATAACAATCAAGAAGTATTATCTGATTTATCTAGTAATTTGTTATCATCTATTAATTGCCATAATCGATGCAATGCAAATAGCCGAAATCTGAATGATGAAAAGTCTGATTCAAAAGAATTGAAAGAATCTGTAAATGAAGATCTTATTGAAACTAATGAAATTATACAAATAAAGATGGACGGTTATGCTGATAATGAGGAAGAAGAAGATACTGATCGCATTGCTTATGAGATTGAATTACGACGTCTTGAAGTTGATTTTGCAGTTATATCACAATTATATGCTGTGCATAAACAAAGAGCTAAAGAGACGAAATTTGAATCATACAAAATTGCATATAAATCCAATTCTAAAAAGGTATATTGCACATCCTTATTGTAATTTTCTTGAATAATAAGTCTTTTACAACACAATTAGTTTGTATGTTGAAAGGCGTTAATTATGCGCATTGCTATGATCATCATCATACAGGAAGGTTTTCAATAGTCATCGATTTATCGACTTTGTTACCATACTTCACAATATGATGCTCTCCATCTCACTAAATAGTGCGATTTTAGTTTCAATAAATACAGCATCAACAGTAGTTCAAGTTTTATTCAAATACGCACTTTTTTGATCTCTCAGCTAGGTATATATTATCTTTTAAGTATTAAACAGATTTTTCTTACCCGGGACCTTCGAATTTTTCTTTCAAGTTACAGTATTTTCATAATAAATGATGATTAATTCAATCTATTTCTTTATACCTTAATTTTTAATTTTATTGTTTATTTATAGTTAAAGGATATCACGGAACAAATGAATCACATAAAAACTGTATTATTATCAAATCAACAATTAAGCAAAGAACAACCTATTGTTTCAGTTGATCGAAAAATGATACAGAAGCATATTTATAAGCGACGGAAAACATGGAATCCACTGAAACTTAGTAGTTCTAACTGGACTATGGGAAATGGCACATCACCTAGACGATCCAAACTTGATTCCATACAGTTCCAGGATTTCTCCTCACCGGTTACACCGAATACTACTAAACCTAAACATGACATTTTTACAGAACGTCGTGAGTCAACAGTTGTAGGAAGAAGGATACAACATACTCTTCCACGTCACAGTAAGCTTTTTTACGAAAAATCTTCAAAATGTGAGGCACCAACTGAAACAATTTCCGTAAGACAAGACATGGATGAATACTTTGACCCAAATCCTAGTAAAGAAATCAACGTAACACCAATTAAACAAGATATAACAAAAAAGCCTAGATCTGCGTTATCTAGTCCAGTTCTACATCCTTTAGGGCCCGACTGTATTACTAACTTGCATGAAGACCTTCATCATTCTTCCGATTCCAATCCTATAAATACTCCGGTGAGTTATAATTGAATGATTACAAATTAATTTGCATTCAACTTTGCTATTACATGATCTTTTATGAGTAGTGGTAGCAAAAAAACTATTCATACTTCTATGTTATTCAGTCTACTTCAATTTCATTCAATGTAACAGCTGACTAAAACATATTCCTAAATACACTGTTCATACAGTTTACAAGTTGTATAATATTAGTGGTCCTTTATATAAAAACAATAGACAGTTTTTCAAACACTTATTAACAGTAAAACTGGTTTAAAGTCTGTTTATTGTAGGTGGGAAACATAATGGAGCAAATGTGTAATGCAAACAAACATTTATTTACGCTGAAAATGACACTTATGAATAAATTAGGTAGCTGATCAACAAATAATTCGCAATCATTTTACAACAATTGTCTATGTGACAAAACATTTTAATGCTTTATACTTAACATTCATGAGTAACAATGTGAAAAGTTTCTTTACTGATGAACTGTTTTATTATTTGTTTCCTACAGGCATCAATCAACGCTGTCGTACAAGAAAAAATTACATCTCAAGATCGTTCTGTAAATAAAACAATTGTTCATGACCGACGCCGAAAATATGTTAAAACTTCAAAACGATCACATTCACTATCATCAGAACTTTTTATTGTTTCTGTTGATGACACATACAATCTTCCACATAGTCTAGTGAAAAAAATTGCTCGGGTTCGTTCTCTTCCACAATTTAATAATGGTCCAAATTGTTCCAATGAATACATGGATTATGTCAAAAAGAAAATAGTACATGAAAGGTAAATTTAATTGTTATTACTAGTACTAATTCTTTGAAATACAGAATTTAATTTCAGATTCTTACCCTAAATTTAATCGATCTATTTTATTCCTTCAATTTTCAGTTATTCAGTTGATGGGAAACTTAAAAATCTTAAACGTCAACCACTAAGTGTAACAACTCAATCATCCGGTATCGGGTTCAATAATTCATCTGCTTCTGTTGATTACACAGATGCGTTAGGATCGCCTAACTTAAACTGTGCTAAATGTATACCCAAAAAGACCAGTTCATCAAATACATCTTCGTCTAATTGGTCAACTTCCGGTTGTTCATGTTTATCTTCTCAGACAAACAGTTCATCTCCATATGAAGAATGTGCCTTGAAAAGAAATGGGGACTTCAACGTTGAGGACAAACGAAGGGCTAAACCCGATTTAGCCAACTCTGGTGATTGTTCTAGTACACCAACAAGAAATTGTTCGGAAGAAGCTACTAAAACTAAGGTTATACTAAGACATTTTGATAAGCGAGGGAGAAGAGTAACTACCCCCCTTATGGAAAATCTTAATGCACAACCTTTCGGAATGTCTGTCTCTGCCAGATGTATTTGCAGTTGCTTCTCGGAACATGGTCATTTTTTAACTACTGCCGAATCACATATTTGCCAGTGTCGTCATCCAGATAACCATACTAACACAAATACATCTATACAACTCAATAAATCTGAATTTGGGAGCAGTCATGAAATCCCGACAACACAGGATGAAGGTAATCTTGTGTCTCTGCCATCTTCTGTATGTTATAGTGAAGAAACAGAATTAGTCAATATATCTAGTGATCGACTGCATTCAAAGGCTTCTTTGGACTGTTATTCTTTACAAACTCCAAAAAGTCATGATGAAAGTCAGAACAAAGAGATAGTTTGTTTGCAGACTCCTAATAATAATTCTGCTAGTGCCCTTAAAGGTCGACTAAGCTTAAAACCATTTTCTTTGATAAGGCGTGCAGTTTCAAAAGTCACAACAAATTCAGGTCGTCGTTCACTTAATACAAACTCACCTTTCAAAATAAATAAAAAGAAATGTATCACTAGCCCAACAATTTTACCCTCGCTTACTACAGACAGGCTTAAGGAGATTAAAACTAATAGCGCTACAAATGATAACAGTGATACTTGTAGAAAACTGAAGTGCTCACTTAGTGACGTCCATGATTCTTTGGGATACCAATCAAATCCTAGTATCACTACCATTACAAATAATAACAACAATATGCGTCGTTTTACATGGGCCAGGAAAATTCGACATTCAATGCGTCCATCACATGTGGTACCAAATAAATGTGCAAACTAAACTCTAGAATATTTTTATTATTTTACATCAAGTATGTACATACTACTTTGTCTTACCTGTGATCTGAAGCTTAGATTACCTATTATTATCATTATTCCGACAGTAGCTGAAACGTGATCATTTAGATTGTCAACATATTTATTTAGTAAAATGCAGTAACTGCATGAAATTGTTTATGCACATTGATGACCTATTTGTTTGCAAATAATGTCTTACGTGTACATACAGAATATCTTCATAGTTTTTTTCAGAAAAATATGAACAAAGTAAAAATATTACTGTTTTGAAAATCTTTTTCGAATAATTTTGTACAAAATATGATATTGATAAGTTTCATTCTGTTGATAAAAACTCCTAGAGAATTGTTTTAATTTGTAATTAATTATCACGACAATTTTTTTTATATTTTGATTTGATTTTCTATTTCTTTATTGATTAAAATATACAAAAGTTGTTCATTACCTGACTGATGTGTCATTTTCTTGATTTGAAACGAAGCTGTCTGTATTTCCACCGGAACAGATGTTTACTTTCCAAATTGTATATTTGGTTAGCGTTTCATTCGTTTTATTTGAAACGCTTCAGTTAAATGTTTCTGGATCCTACTGCTGATGTATAAAGACATAATAAAGAATTATTAACATTGTGTAAATTGAACTGTAAATAAGAATTGACATTTATTCGAATATGTATCTACCTGGATTCCAAGGCTTAAACCAAATTGTACACGAACTTTAGTTGTCTACATCTATTCTCCAGGTTCTTTAAAGTAGCGTTAATTAATATTTACCAAACTAACCTGCGTTCACCGATTGAAAGTTTAGAAAAGATTCAAATGACTACAAGTGAAATCTAGCATAGATTTGAATGAAAAATCTTAAACTATCCGCTTTGAGTTTTATTTTTCTGACAAACATCATATTTATTTGCTTGATTACCTTTCACTTAAAATAGAATCATATTAAAATATGAACAAATTCGATGATACCCTCTGAAATTACTCATCATATTTTGATTGAAACTTGAACGAACATCCATTTCGGTTTGCACTCAATCTGTATCAGACATTAAGCTGATGATGCATAACCGATATACATGTTTACTTTATGTTACTACGATCATTTGTGATGATTATTCAAGGTGTTAGTGATCTACACAAGTTATGTAATATGCAGTACTTCGAAAAATCAATATGTTTGTTTGTAGTATAATGTATTAAACTGATAACGTAATTTCTAGTATAAGATGTTAATTTTTTTTTACAAATTGCGAAGACAGTTGTTAGTACTTACAGCAAAATGCCAGACATGATGTAATACCATGTTTAAATTATGTAAACGACCGGTATATCAAAATAAAATTATCTCGTAATGTATGTTATCAGCTATTAGCAGGTCCATTATCTGCAAAACTACACTAAATGTTGGATTTCTTTCAATATATAGTAAGCTAACTTGAAGTTAGACTTAGGGCATATATCTTTCATTCATAATGTAAATTGAATGATGCAGGAAAATCTTGATTACTGAGTGACTGAATCTCTCTGACTGACTAGATAGGAGACTTCAGCTAAAAAAATATCAATCGTTCGACTAAGAACCAACACACTGATTTGAACATAACTCCGATGACTGGATTAATGTCTACAGTGTTGACATAAAGTTTTATCAGTTTTAAACTAACCAACCACATTTGGTTCCTTGTATTCTAGTTGAAAAGGTTAGAAATAAACCACTGAGTCATAAAAATTTTGGATGATAATTCATTTCTTAGAAAAGAACTATGACACTTGACAAGTTGATATTTTAAGAGTTTAATGATGCCGCAGTGTACTGTTACATAATCCAGAGAATCACTGAATACAAAGAGGTAATGGATAGCACTTTTGAAATGGCAGCGATAAGCAGACCAAGTGGAGAATAGTCTAGGGTTATTGGAAGATGATCTATATATTATAGATCATAGACATTTCGTAGTGGAGAAAGATTTCTCAACCAATATTCACGATGATCTATAGTTGGTTAACATCATAAGGAACAACATTTTAACACAAATGATTGAAAATTCATTGCAAGTGTAGACTTAGTTTTCCTTAACTTTTAATTGTTTTTCAACAAATATCATTTTTTGTGGGACTCAACTCTGATTCATTCTCCAGGGTTGTCACAGATATCAGAGATACTTTATTTCCCGAATAAATTTCAGGAATTCTATCTCGAATCTCTTGACATACCCTTTAGTCAGTTCCAGGAAACATCAAATCTCAAAATCAGAATGCATTAGTAAGATGTACTTCATGAAATCCCATCTACTAGATGCAACAAGCTTGAGATATTGTTCGCTACTTGGTACATGTTTTCCTCTAGGTCGATATACACTTTTATTAAACACTTACATAGAAATATCTTGTATTTTGAATATATATTCTCAAATTCAAATCTAAATAGCTTTGAGTTATTTCTTTTATTTGAAATGTGTATTATACCTTACAGATTAATAATTCATAGTTCTCAACCATTTTCATTTGTATAATTTGTTAGACATTTTGACATTTTTCTCTCTGTGTTACACATCGCGTATCATAAGATCTTATTTAGATAGTTAATCAAATCACTGAATATTATGCATTACTTAAAGAGTTCAACAGAATGTGTTGATATTATTTAGTGAATAAATTTTTGCATTTTCTATGACAAACTAACACATAGGAGGAGTATCGATTTTACAAACATCAAAGAATACTAAATACAAATTAATATTTGTTAATAATCACTTATCTGATGTATGCTTTGAATGACCGGTTCACTGAATCATTTACATCTGTCTATTAATAAGTATAAATTAATTATAATAGCAGTAGTAGTAGTAGTAAAATTTATATAAAAAGTGATAAGTTCATTAAAATTTTATTCATTATTAATTATATCAGTGAATGAATAAATTATTTTTAGGAATATATATATATATATATATATATATATATATATATATAATGTGATGGTTCTTTTTTGTTGTTCACGTTATTGTACATGTGCATATGTATAGCGAGTACTCATTCATATTTAATTTTGAAATTAGTGAAAAGGTCATCGTGATATGAATTGAATATTATGAAATATATATATTCAAATGAATTAAGTTTACCTGAAAGATTAAACTATTCAGCTTTTGGTTATGCATGTACTATGAACAATAACAATGTGACTATATCATTGAAAATTTGAACAATTATCAATAATGATATAAGAATAAAATGAAATGATGTGCTTAGTTAATTGTTGCTTGCCGATAATAAAAAAAATTAGACATTGTCAACAACTAAATTGGCAAGTAATTAGAATGATGAGTAATAGATTTTTAACTGGAATGAATTGCTACAATCTATTGATAAGTATTTTTAGTGCCTATTGTACTTAGTAAGTACAACTGAATAGTCTGAAACAACCTGGTTCAGAGAATGCCTCACACTTGTTAGATATTGTATTTTTTTTACATGTTTTAATGTGAAATCATTCACAATGGCGTATGATACGAATTGTAAACGCAAGTTGCCAAGTCCCATGACCACCAAGTATAATTATATGCTGGTACTCACTCTTTATCACTCAGATAGATAACAAAAAAAAATACGAAGTACCTTATATTTATTAAAATAAATCTTGCAAACGAATCACACCATTTGTACTCATCTCATCAGCAAAAAAATAGAGGTGCTAATATGCAGTTTCTTATCAAAGTAATTGATTCACATCTATTGTGCCCCAAGTAATTATTCATACTTGCATTGAATGAGTCATTTCAATCGTTCAGGTTTTTACAATTCAATAAGAAATAAGTGTCATTTATTGTCAAAAATGTTACATAAAATTTGATGTCTTTCAATTGAATTTTGTCATTTTTATTTAGTTATCGATGATATTCTCCCTCTCTCTCTCTCGCTCTCTCTCTCCTACACACACTCGGTGGATATCTGTGTTTGTATGAATTCCATTTTTGTCCATTGATCAAATGAGAATTCAAAAGGATGACCTTTTAAAGATATTTCATTTTTGAGGATAACAAACACATTCTCCCATAGGTCCAATTAATTTGTAAGTAAAATGAAAATATCAATATTAATTATATAAAAAGGTATGAACGATGTAAAAATTAAGAAAATTATTCGACCTGAGAACATAATGAATTATTAACTAGTTAGAATTAGAAAAGTACTTTTCACTCATGACTGACCTTAATTTTAATTGATTTGAGCATAACTTCTTGCACTGAATGACCTTTAAATAGGAAAAAAATCGAATTTTTCACTAAAAGAAACCTTCATTATGGCACAACAATCAAAGTTGCTGGTATTTTATGAAGACAGCTTTACTGATTCGTGGCATTATCGAATCCAATGTCAAAATTGTTTATTTCGTTTGCTAATATTTTGACAAATATAATTTGTCTTTGAATGTCACCTAATAAGCATACTGACATACATTATTTTGAAATTGGAGAATAGATATAAGATGAAAATTTAATCAGTGCTATATTAGGCATAAATAGTTAAATATTTAAGTCTTTAAATAATAAGTCAATTTTGAAAAATACCGATTATTACAGATCACCACGTACAATATGTTAGCCGATGTATCACTTTATCTAAAATATAAAAGTTACCTCACTTGCGACTTACTTCTAAATAAGTCCTTAAAGTTTTGAAGTTGTGATCATTGGAGTTCAGACATGTTTGTGATGAAACACTGGCCGCCGGTTGAACTGAAGTACATAGGTAACTGATTTAGCTTGCAAATATGTACTACTCACTAAGCCTTCTCCACAAGACTTGAAGCTTCTAGGTAATATTAATGACGGATGTTCGTGGTTTTTAATGGTTGTAGAGTCACATGTAAAGTCGAGGCAGCTTCCTGGTGCCTTCTAGTTTTTAATGGTCCTATGACTGAAACTAGTCTTCGTTTAGTAACTCAAACGTTTGGAAAATTCAAATCTTTAAACTACTGGATTTATATCATATTCTATAAAACTAGTAGGAAAGATCTTGTTTAATACCTGAAATCTCTTAAAACTTGAGAACTGATGTTTGGCATTTGTATGAATGATAATAACTACTGTTACTTACTTGATATTTCTCTATAATTTAATTTTAAGTTCTAATATTAATTATGAGACAAAAGAGAAGAACACTAAGTTATTTCTTGTGAAGAAATAATTGACAGTTGCATCTGTTTCTGTTAGATACAAGTTTTGCGATATAAAACTGACTAATACATCAAATACAACCTTGAGTAATACACAACATATTTAAATATTCAAAGCAATAATTACACTTTCATAACAGTTTTTTACAAATATCTGCTTACATTGATTAGGTATATCTGTAAAATCACTT